TCATGAACAAAGGCCCATTTGTTCGTATTGCTCTGCCAACGATTTGTTGCGATCGGCACGTGTGGGCTGGCTGGCGCCAACACGAGGGGGAAACCGGACAACGCACGGCGGCAGAAATTAATCTCTCCGCCCCGTGAGAGCATTTCTCCTTGGACCCTTGCATTGCTTGCATATATACTAGTTTGGCATGCGGCACATCTCTCATCGCTTCCAAAAACAAAATAGCTCCAGTGTCTAGTATAAATTGTTATCACGTTATGTACTTATGCGTGCTCATCAGCTCTCTCCCATGCACGCTGTTGCATGGAATGACAAAAGCTCCAGCTAGCGAGCAGGCAAGCTAGTGAGCGATCGAGCTAGCCAGGCGGCATGGAATGCTCTAGAAAATAGACCATAGCTATTCAGAGAAAAGTATATATACGGGGCAAATAATTCACGTATGCACTATTCTTGCACCAGTATTATATTAATTGCTCGTGTCTTTATATGTCTAGAGCTAGAGGTTAATTTATCAGCTGTATGCAGTTGCGTATATGCATGACCTCAAGTTGTCATAATATAGTTAAATTTAAAGGTTAGTTAGATCTCACAGGAATATTTAATTTGAAGATCGTATTTTGTAGTTTAGAGGCTGTTCAGATTGTAGCCAAAATAAATTTTACCAAATTTTGACAATGCCAAAATTTTGGCAGGATTTCTTATGTATTTATTAAAGTTTGGCAAGAAACGAATGGATGCACATATTTGATAATTTAAAAAAGAATGGTATGGTTTGAAATGGCATCAATCTAAATAAACCATTAGTTTTAAATTTTTGAATCAACAACACCATTATTTCGTTGTGTAGGGATTTTTCGGTTTGAAACCTCTCTTGGAGCAATATAAATTACGGGATTTTAATTTCATGCAGTTTTGTGTGGAGCTAAATTTAAAAATAGAATTCGGTTTGATTTCTTCACACCTATTTTCGCGATACAATTGTTTTAAATACATTTTAAATCAAAGTTGAATTTGATATACAACTGTTAACCTCTAATTTTCACGATAAAATTGTGTTTTGTATATACAAACATCAATCAATCTACATGAACCGCGGTAGCCCAACCCTTTCGATGGGCTGGCCCACTTACACTTTCGTCATTTGCTTCGTATTAATATGTTAACCCGAGAGTGATATAGATGAACAAGCTTTTATAAGTTGGTTCCATTCTTGCTCAACTAATAATTAATGTGGTACTAGATATGCACACATGTATACAGTTGTCATGGGCCACACATGTCTCGTTCTAATGGGACCAGGATATCACAAATAGAGATGTCTCCTCGCAATTGCATGATTGTCTCTACGATGGGCAACTGATCTCTGTCACAAATTGATCATTCATGATACCCAGTTTGTCATCTAAATGGTTATTAAAGAAATATATTATTAATAATATATTGCTCCATAAACAATTAAATTTAAATATGATTGTGAGCGCACCTATACTCTCTCCGTCCCATAAAAAACTAACTTCTAGGGATAAACCTGGATAAACATTTGTATTCATCTCTATAAGTTGTCTTTTACATACCTAAAAAAACAAATCCGTCATGCAATTGGCGTAAAGAAAACAAATTCATCATGCATGCAATTGCATGATGTGCCGCTAGCTGAGTAGCTAGGAGCCTAGGAAAGCTAAACTGCCCGCCGTCGTCGTGGTGGCTTGCATTGCTAATAACTGAGCCCACTTCGAAACGACGACGTGCGCGCGCGCGGCGCCGTCGCGGGCGCCCCTGCTGCAGGTGCCTGCCTGCAGCCTCTGCGCCTGTGTGCTGTGGCCGCTAGCTTCCCCCCTCCCACCTCGATCACGAGCAGATTCCCCCACCCCTCTCCTCTCCTCTCCTCTCCTGCCCGCGCCAAAGCTAGCTCAGCTCAGCTCCTCCCCAGCTGCTCCATGCAGCACATTGCAGCAGCAGCTAGCTGCATCTGCATGCATGCCTCGCTGGTTAACGTCGGCCTCTCGGCCCCCACACCCACACCCAACCATCCACAACTCAACAACACCACACTAGCTTAGCACGTAAGTACGTACCGTCACGGATGTACTACTACTACGTTTATTTTGGGTATATATATATATACTCTCTCCGTATTTTAATATATGACGCCGTTGACTTTTTAACCAATATTTGACTATTTTTTTATTCAATTTTTTTGTGAAAATATCAAAATATTTATGTCATGCATAAAGAACATTTGATGATGTATCAAGTCACAATAAAATAAATAATATTACGTAATTTTTTTAATAAGACGAATGGTTAAACGTTGGACGAAAAGTCAACGGCGTCGGTAGTACTGTATAGTGATCGATCGATCTCGTTCTCTCTATCGATCGCCACGCATGTGAAGTCGATCGCCAGCATGGATACGATCATTTCGTAACGTTTTACATGTACATGTAGGTGTTAATTTAATGGCTAGATAGCTAGATTTATATGGTTTGGTATACATGAATGCATCCATATATATGTGATCGATCTCACATGGTGGTATCCCGGCCGTATGCGCGTATGTATACAGTGCATGCGCACGCGGTGGTCACGCTGTAGTTAAACTAGTTATATATATCCAGGCCGTCGCGTCGTCATTCTCTCGAAGAGAAATAGATTAAAAACTTATCGCCTCGTACGAACGTATCTGCTGCCCTCTTCTGTCGAGCCCAGCTGCCAAGCTCTCCTAGCTAGTTGCAGGGCAGCAAACAAGGGGAATATGTAGTCATAGTATGTGTGTCAATATGTGCAGTACACAGTTTGTTATGATATGATTTTAAGCCCTTCGGGAACATGTACTCTTGTTTCTTCTTCTCTCAAATCTAGTCTAAATGATCTTCTTTTATATTATTAAAAAAAGCAGATAAAATACACACTTTGTATTTTGGGTTGTTGGATCAAGATCAAGTGGCGGTATCTTGAGCCATGTGAAATATTGAACTCATGCATCTCACTATCAGAAACCGGATTAGATCTAATTAAGGAAAAATACAAGTTCAGGACAAAATAAAATCTCGTCAAGAAAGAAAATACTGTTGGGAATAGCTTGTGAGGGAAAAACGAATACCTGCCTCCCCCACCTGGCCGTTCCTCCCTGTTTCATTTGGCTACTGCCTTCTAACCCCTGATTGTTTCCTTCCTCCCACTGCTCAACCCGGCCAAGTATTACTATTCTAGCCATCCTCTTAAGCCTGCTAAACACCCACATTTCCCCCTTCCTTTAACCTTAGTCCCATTAGAGGAGTATTCCCCTTAGATCCGGGTCCAGGCCATCCGATAAAAATAAGCGGACGAACTCAACGGGTTGGGCGCACGGCATGAGCCACATTGCTTCTCCTTCGTGTGATCACCCACATCCGCCCTCTTGCTCGCTTGCATGACGGCTTGCTTGCCTGACCGCTAGCTGTCAGTCACCACCTGCGCCTGCCTGCTTGCTGGCAGCTCGCTCGCCCGACCGTTTGCTAGCCCGTCGGTCACCACTCCTCCGCCTGCTTGCTCCGCTCCTCCTTCCACCCGCTCGCGGGCCATACTGCTCCTCCTCCGCTCGGCAGTCTATCGCCGTCGAGTTCAAGCATGTTGTCGGGATTGGGCGTGGGCTGACGGTAACTGCAAACAACATTCATCCCATCTCTCCCTCCTTCTATCAATTAAGAAACTGGGATCGTCCCATCCTATGGATCAAACGTACGAGTAGAATCATCCCATCCCAAAATTAGGGATAATATCGTTTCATCTTACCTAGCTAGTACGTCCCATAATCAAACACAAGCTAACTACTTGAGTTATGTTCAATGAGCAACTCTTATTTTTTTTAATATAAAGGGAGCAGTAAAATAATTGAGCGAGGACGCCTAGCTCTAGCTAGCTTAGCTAGTGCCGTGGTCTTCCATTCCTTTTGCTCTCGTTGGGAATGGTCACCAGCCCAGCACATGCGTGGCTGCCATACATGATACATGCACCTCATATCAGAATGTTTCATTTGGTTGGTGATCTCATGGCTACCCTAGCTACACGCATCGTTCTCCCTGGCCCTGTCAAAAGGGGGAAAGAAATTTATTCAGTTTACCGGCCGGAGGACTACTACCAACCATGCTAAGTACTATATGTAGTAACAGTGATGTTTGGACCTTGGATATTTGTGTTCCATTATGGGGGCATCCTATGTATTCGATGATCCGATATATAAATATATATTTCACACTACGTACAGCAAGTTGTTCATATACTAGTCCTCGGATAACTAATGGTCAGTTTTCATAAAAAAAATGATAATGGTCAGTTGTTTAATCCACACGGGATGGAGGATGCACTGCATCTTGTCAAGCAGATTCCTTCTAGCTGGTGATGCACATTGCTGGAACCAAACCATATCCGTACGTCCATCTAGCTACATGGATCAATTTGTCGCCTAATTCAACTTTTGTATCGATCATCCATTTCTTCGAACAGCCCAGCCTACAGCTTCAAATTACGGAATTTCAGTATCCACTGTATATAACGCGTGATGATATATATTATATTGTTTAAATTAGCTAGTAGCATGCATACATATCATGCATGTGCATGTGTGCTCCCAGGAAGTAATAAAACCATGTCTCGAAATGCCAGTTTCATATTTCACATCTAGATTAAGTATTAGTAGCAAAATTAAAGCTAGAACGGAACACAAAAGCAATCAATAATATTTGCCGAACCCTATCGTCCACTTGCTTCGACGTCGTATGCAGCACGATGTATAGGTTAGTCGATCTTATTTTGTCCCTTCTCATATAGATTCAGAGGTTTATACTAGTAAACATATATGGCAGACATGCATTATGCATACGTCCAATATTTCCTTTCTTTTCTTCTTTATCTCCTTCACTGAATTCTCATGCATACACATTTCCTTTTTTTTCCCTTCAATTGATATTTAGATGAGAGAAATGATCAGAAGGATACAACAATATGGTCACGTGAGTGGCCACGGCCGGGGAGAGAAGCCACTATATACATATGGAGTAGTAGTGGCCTTCATCTCGGTGTTCCCCATTTGAGCTAGCTAAGCTGCTGTACTATAGCAGCAGCTCTTGCTCACCAGCTAGCAGCAAGCTATACACCTCTCTTTCTCTCCTCTCTATCTTTCTCAAGCCAATATCTCTCTCGCTAATTCGATTGGGTTATCAGGCCTTCATCGTAATCCAGCTTCAGCTGTGTGTCTGTGATTGTGTTTGTGTTGTGTGTGTGAGAGAGAGAGGCGAAGAAATTAAGAAGAGCGAGAGAGAGAGAGAGCTGCTGCTATACAGACTTACAGAGGACGAAGATGATGTCGTCGAGGGAACGCAAGAAAGCGGCGGCGCTACAGGAGAAGCTGCAAATCCTCCGCTCCATCACTCACTCCCACGCTGTAATTAATCACACCCTCTCCTTTCTTATTAAGTTTTTCTCTCTGCTAAACTTTTCATGTGCATGCATGTCATCACTGATCGAAAAAAAACGACACGACCGTGCGTCAGTTCTGCAGTCCCCATCATGTCAAATTCGATATTTATCACTCATATATTACCTGCACCTTGTAGTATCTCTGTAAATATCCAGCTATATAGTTTTTTGTTTAAAAAATAGAAGTTTTATCATACTTAACTAATTGCATTAAAATGATATAGCCGTCTGAGAGCACTACTCTTGGTCTCTCTCAGCTGCACATATGAATATGCATGCTCTCTTAAGTCGATCAAGGTTAATTATTAACATTAATGGTATATATATATGTGCAGCTGAGCAACACGTCCATCTTAATGGACGCGTCCAAGTACATCAAGGAGCTGAAGCAGAAGGTCGTGAGGCTGAACCAGGAGATCGCTTGCGCGCAAGACGCTCTCAGACAAAATCGGGTACACACACACATCACACACCTAGCTTAAACTCCCTCTGAGAGAGAGAGAGAGAGACTGCACAGACACCATTGCACAGTGCTTTGCTTTTTTTTTTCCTCTCTCTCTCTCTCTCTCTCTCTCTTCTTCTTCTGTTAATTTCGTACTACGAGCAGAGAGAGGACAGCGCGCGCTAGCTAGATGCCAACCTGCGAGTGGCTCTAGCGAAGTTCACATGCACGAGATACTTGTAATGCTATAGCGGCTATAGCTGATGAGCCAGTTAATGGAGTTTGGATTGGTCAGTAGCTAGTACTACTCCAGTACGTACACGCATGCACACTGTTGCGCAGACAGAGCACACACAGTTCATTAATCAATGCTCCCATGTCTGCATCTACACGCATGATTAATTTGTGTCTGAAAATTAACTATCTGGTCTCATCAGTGATGAGCTGATCGAGCTGCTGTGATTAATGGTGTCTGGCATGCAGGTGACCGTGGAAACCCTAAGACACGGGTTCCTCGTCAACGTCTTCTCCGGCAAGAGCTGCCCGGGGCTCCTCGTCTCCATCCTCGAGGCCTTCGACGAGCTCGGCCTCAGCGTCCTCGAGGCCACGGCCTCCTGCACCGACACCTTCCGCCTAGAAGCCATCGGTAGCGAGGTAATTATATTAATCAGCTAACAAATTATATCATTAGCGGCCAAAATTCAAATTAAGCCCAAGTCAATTTGGGTAGAATTCATTGAGCCCTTTCGAGAGGTAAAGGCAGATGTTTCGATTGATTCAGTACCAAGAAACACTGTAGGCCGGCATACATTCTGGGACAAGAGTTTGACATGCCTTTTTTCTTTTTCTTTGCTTTGTCTCTGTATATGCTCTCCCCTGAACTGAAGAACCTGATGGAGAAGGTGGACGAGCACGTCGTGAAGCAGGCCGTGCTGCGGGCGATCAGGAGCTGCTCCGGCAGCGGCGGCGATCACCACGACGACGACGACGACGACGACGACGAGTAAGCACAGAAGCGGATCGATCGAGCTCTGTTAATTTCGATCTCCTCCTCCTCGCCGGCCGGCGGCGAGCATGGCCGATCGATCGCAGCAATTGCTCGAATGATTAGTCTGTCCTATTCTTTCTTTCTCCATTTTCCCCCGGCATTAATTTCTTCTCTTTTCTCCTGTCTGATCTGTCGTCTCCGCCGTCTACATGGCGGCGCATGCATGCATGATAGGCTCCTATAATTCGGTGAAACGAAGTACACCGAAGCATTTCCTGTGTAATAGGACTACTGTTAATTAGGGGGAGCATATCATCATAATTATTGATATATGTATATGTAGTCTATGGCAAATAAGATCATGTAACATATGAGATGGGATTCAGAGGCATACGTTCTGTACTTCAGTACGTAGCTCTAAATATTACTGACTCACTGAACAGTGCTACGACCAGCATGCATCACAACATTGAAACCCTGATCTCTTTGAAAGTTTTTTTTTTGATGGAAAGATCTTTGAAAGTTAATTTGAAGCTCCTGATTGATGGCATTTGGTGCATGCATGCATGCATCTGTGGCTCTGTGTTCTGAAACAGTGGCTGGAGCAGAGAGCAAGCATGGAGCCCAGTGGGTGAGCATCGTGTAGCTGGATAGGCGAGACCTCTCTCCCATTCATGAGTAGCACTGTTCATTGACACTGTAGATATACCAGCGTACCACCAGATGGAAAAAAAAGGTGTATCGCTCCGGTTCCAAAATTCATGGAGCCATGCATGCAGATGGCGGCCAATCAATGAGAAAGGAAGCTAGCCTTAGACCTCCCGGATCATATCACTGTGTGTGTTTGTTGATAACATTTATATCCATTCCCAAGATCGAGCGAGTGACATACTGTGACATACTGGATATGCATGGAGCAAAGTGGAGTGATCGGTTGCAATCATCAATCACCTAGTAGGTAAACTGTTTTCATTACTTAGGGGAATGTAACACTAGTTAATTTTTACACACCATCTAAATAATCATAAAAAATATTTTAAAATTAATAAGATATGCCTAAGATATTTCACTTCATAAATATGCAAATTTAAATTTAACTCATAAACGTTTGAAGAAAAATAAATCTAACCTCTAAAAATAGTTTTTTTTTTCATTTTATGTTTATAGAGTGATGTATCTCATAGAGATATATGGAGTATCTAATTAATTTTTTCAAAAAAAAGATAATGACTATAAATTCATCTCCTACCTCATAGTAACAAATATCTTGACGGTGTTACATTACATATAGATTCGTGCGTGCGTGCGCGCGCGTGGGAGGGAGAGAGGGGAAGCAGCGGGCTGCCGTGCCGTTTGTTTAGGGGACACGGGTGACGAGGGGCGGCTCGACGACACCGGACACACCCACTATGCCCCCGTGACGCCCCTCCCGCGGACGGACTCGATCGATGCGTGCCGCCGCGTGATCCCCCGTCGGTTTTGCCCCTCCTCTTCCCGCGCCCGCCTGTGACTCCTCTCCTGTGAGCGGGCCGCGGCCTCACACGCACTGACGCGTCTCCCTCCCTCCCTCCCCGTGTGCAAAACAACAAAGCGCGTACGTGGACGTATCGACGAGACACCCCCACCCCCACCCGCGCGCGCGCGCGAGCGAGCGAGCGAGACGAGAGCGCGTCGTCCTTGCCGGCGGTCGCAGTTTCTTCATGGGCGTAACAGTCGCCCGCGCTCCGAGCGAAGGCAGAGAGACCACCGATCGATCAGCGCGCGCGCGTACACGGCGTGGCTTTGTCGTTGTCGTCGCACAAACAGCCGTGCCCGGGCGAAGCGACAAGCCGCGTCGTCGTCGTCGTGGTGCTCCAGCTGCGAGGGGGAGGGGGGGCCAGGATGGCCAGGGAAAACGTACGCACACGTTACGTCGCCGATGCGGCTCACGAGAGCTGCTGCTGCCGCGCGCGCGGCGCGAGGCAGTCGGTCGTCGTCGTCGGGCCGGGGGCACGGACGAGCCTGGGGGCTGGGGGGGTCCTAGCTCTGGCGCCCAGATGATGTGTATAATTGTGGAGCGTAGCGTAGTAATAGCAGCTGATATACTAGCTTCCATCATCTTTTCCAGCTCGGACGACGGGATTTGGCTGCTGCTGCTGCTCGGAAGGCGACAATTAGGGCACTGAAGCTCTCCAGAGGTCACGCTGCCTTGACGCGTGAGCGCGTGACTGACGAGACGCGCGTCCATGCCAGGAACATATCATCCATGCCCCTACGAGATCACCAGATGATTATGATGCTTGCGGATTTTGCAGTGCCTGAATATCGTCAGATAATTAACGATGTTTCTACCTTCGGTTTTCCTTTAACAACTGATCAGAGTATTGCTCTGCAAAGATTTTGCAGTGGCCGGGATACAACATAACATTGGCTTAGGCAAAACGGTAAGCAAAAACATTCAATTGAACCAAATCTGAAGGTTGTAGTAGTCCGATCAACCAATAGCTCAGTCTCAATGGCTCACTGGCCATGATCAAAACAAGGCTCTGCCCGACAGTCAGGCTGCTCCTGCTCCTGTATGAAGAAATATCCGAGATAGAATCATGGGGTTCTCTTCAGCTAAGAATTTTATTTAGCCCATCATTCACTGTGCGATGGGCTTGGCAACAAATTAGTCGCTGCTGGCACTCTTTCTGGCCATTTTTACTCGGTCGTAGTCCGCTTTCCACACCCTATAAGCGCTCCTAACTTCCTCCAGCTGTGGATCTGGTATGCTCGTGAATCGGTCCAAGTTCTCCACCCATTCTTTCCATGGAGGCATGGATGCATCCAGGAAGTTTGCTAGCTCTGGAACAAGAGCTGCCCTGTAGAATTCCATTACCCCCTTCTTGACTTCTTCAGATTCATTCATTGATTGGATCCCAGGGCGAACTATAGTCCCTTGCTTGTTCCTCAGGCAGAAACTGTTATCTCTAAGCACCAAAACTTCAGAAGGGGCAATTGGTAACACAATGCGAGAAAACTTTGCAAGAGACAGTGCTATAATATCTTTGGGTAGTAATCCACGCTTAACCGCCACCGAAGTACCAACCATCTTCCGGATCTGAGGTCAAAAAAAAAAAAAACATCACGGCATATTCATACTAGTTCCATGCATGCATAATACTTAATACTGTTACAGCAAATATTCGTTCTGCAGTTCATACTAAGGCATATAACCAGTGAATAGATCACCATGAACCCAAACCAAACGTTTTGCTGATTATGCATAGTTTCAGAAGGAATTAAACATTTAACAGTGAAAACAAAACACTACAGTTTGGATTTTAGAAGCAGTCAAACAGCTTAAACTACTAGTTTGTTGAGACTTGAGAGTGGTATTTTTGGTATCAAGTGTGCAATTCCCTTGACAACAAAGAACATCACTATTAATTAGCCTACAAAGAGTTTCGAACATAGCATAGTAATATTGCAGAATTTTAGTTTTCATTGATGAGTGGGGTCACTTCTTGTGCATACCTGATGCAGCATGAAAGATACTCCTGATATAGTCAATTCCACAAATTGAATTCCTGATGAAATCTGGAGCTCTCCACAGGAGAATGTGAGGATATCTCTGAAATGTGAAGCATTCAGTCGATCATTTTCATCAGGCTCATGAAGCCACCTAGCTCGAATCTGAACCTGCTTCTCAGAAAATTCGGGATTATCCTTATAACTGTCTTCTGGTACACTAGAACCAATTATCGACGAAGAGTTCAAGTCTTCTTCATCATGGTCTGAAGTAGTTCCGTCATCAGAGGAGCTTTGGTCCAAACTCATTTCAGTGGGCATGGAATTTACAGCTGAGCTTGCCCCTTTTACCTTACGATGCCTTCCTGCTAGAACTTTCCTATACTTGGCACGAGCAGTGTAATTATGAAATGGATGGTTTCCCTACATGTATAACCAATTTAATGAAACTGTGCACATGCAGAATAAACTGTAAAATGAGAGATAAAAATACTCTGACAATGTCTATAATTACTGTATTGAGTAAAAAGGAAATGCATAACAAACAATTCAGATGGTTCAGCAAAACAACTCACCTGGGCTATGTACCAATCAGATGTTTCTTGGGGAAAAAGCCCAGATGTCAAAAGGTGAAATTATTACCAGGATCAAACTGGGCTGGCCTTTTTGCAAATTCACAATTCACATTGGGTCCAATACTCCAGCAACTGTTATGCAAGAGTGTAATGAACCAGGAGTCCTTCATCTATTTAGTTATACCACCCCTACATGGTTCCTAAACTTAAATTTAGTCTAGTATTTAGATGAACTTGTTAAACTCTTCACTGAAGTACATCCATCATCAAATAATTGGAAATCGACAAGGTAGGACACAGTGATGCTACTGGGCCTGCTTGACCTTCCCTCTTGGATTCCAAGCATGCTAAAATGTGCCAAATAAGTTTTTCCACTTCATTTTTTCCATCTCACGAATTGCAGCTGGATCTAAGCAAATCCAGGAACACGCAAGAGTAAAATTCAAAGTCAAGGTCCACAATGGATTGACAGGATATATTTATAACCTCTGGTGTATTTACTGGTCATACAAACTCATGTTTTATTCTTATTTAACTATGTGGCAGTATCTGGGTGTCTCCATAAACACATCTGCTATCAAACAATTTATCAAAGAGATCATATGTCATGTTCTTTTGCACAGTCTAAGCACAGAATGCAGGCGATATACTTGATCATACACATACCTCAAAACCTTTCAGAATGCTATTGAATTCTGACAGGTGTTCCATTACTTCTTCAGAGCTACAACCACCTTTAATTCCAATTATTTCAGCAGGAAGAAGATACAAGTATTCCCGATACAAGCATTCCCTCCTCACATCGAAACTCCTGAGATTGAATGCATGTGGTACCATGAATAAAAAAGTTGTTTTTCCATGCATAACTCAATCAATCACTCCATATCAATGATTTTCAGTCTCTAACCTTTGAGCAGGCAAAACACTGAAAACTCTAACATTGTCTGGCAAATTTGAGTTAATGAAGTTTGAAAGAGCAATGCCATCAGGATCATTCTCCCATGCTCGATCAGGGATTTCCATTTTCAGAGAGATCATTGTGGCCAGTGAATGTACCTGAAATTAGTTCGTTCTAAGCATGCATACAAGCATTTGTTAGACAAAAAGAAGCAGAAAGAACACATTAGAATCATTTGTGCAACTCTATAGGTCAAAATGTAAAATCCTACCCCTTTATCAGTTCTACTACTCCTTTCCCAGCCAACTTTTTGCAGCTTCCCATAATTACTCTCAAGAATGCCCCCAGCCTTGAAGATGGCTGTTTCCAAGACTGACTCAATTGCTGCGGAAAGAGATCAGAAAACCCATTCAACATTTACAGAGATGCAATGCTTACACCACCGATCTCATAGATGAGATGCTCCATGCATGTCTTATATAGTGTTAATGCTCACAATCAACTTGTCATAATAACATATGAAAATATCAATCTGGATCTTTCATAAAAAGTGTTAACGGTAGAATACTTCGACCTAGATTGTCCTTTAGTTGATGGCAAAGGACACGCCCAAAGCAAGCATTATATGTCTATACATAGAACAATCAAGGCACTATACGTCTATGCATAGAACAAGTGATTAACAATTCGATGCAGCTAGGATGAAACTAAATACCAATATTCTAGTTCTACCACACAGACTTTTGCAATGCAACTGTTTTTATTTCTATTTATTGATCGCAACATTGCAACTCAACTTCTCAACACCTGAACGAAGCAGCAGCACCTAGCATCAACATCATACAAATCAGAGCTTACTCGAGTCCGCGCTGAGCTCCCGCTGCTTCTGAAGACCTACAAGGACAAAAGGAGGCCATAGCACACTGAATAAGCACAGCCAACTCCAAAGAATCGGAGCAGTAAAAACATCTCATCCGGCCGTACAAACCAAACCTCGGTACTCCGTGCCGACGTAGCCTACGCGGAGCACGACCCTCTTCTTCCGCGCGGACTCCCACCTCATCCCGCCGCCCCAATCGTCGGAGCAGGTGGTGGCAAGCGGAGGCGAGGGTGGCGCCGCAGAAGCCGCGGCGCCGCCGGGGTAGGAGACGCACGGCGTAGTACGGAGGAACCTCGGGTTCACCCGGCGAGAGAGGAGAGCGGAGGAGTAGGGCCTCCAGAGGCGCCACGTCGCCGCGGCGGCGGCGGCCATCGGCGGCGCGGGCGGTAGTTCAAGCAGAATGGAAGAGAGACGATAAGTCTCCGCGAAGAGAGAGGAAATGGAAATACTCCAATTACAGCCTCGTCGGCCCAAGCACTGTAATGGGCTGAAACTATATCGGCCCGTTTGGTTGGAGGTAGTTTTTAGAAGGAAAAAGTACACCGAAGGTCCCTCAACTTGTCATCGAGTTATAAAATCGTCCCCCAACCGCAAAACCAGATACCGGACGTCCTTGAACTAACAAAACCATTTACTTTAGGTCCTTCGGTGGTTTTGACCCCAGTTTTGTCCGACGTGGCGGCTGAGTCAGCATGGGACCCACGTAGGCCCCACATGTCAGCTTGGCCACGTCAGCTCCTCTCTCTCTAACCTCTTCTCTCCTTCCTCATCTCTATCACTCTTCTTCTTCGCTCTGTGATTTGGGCAGACCAGCTGACGGGTCACGCCACGCACGACGGCGACGCTAGCGTCGCGTGAGACGGGCGGGTGCGCGACGAGGAGGGAGGAGACGAGGCCCACGAGGGGCCGGCAGGGGGAGGAGCTGCGGGCGGCAGGGGAGGCGAAGCGTCGAGCCCGGGAGCAGACCGTGGCGAGGCGACAAGCTCGACCTCGGCGACGGCCACGCGGTCGACAACGGCCAGGAAGGACCAGCACGGCATCACCCGCGCTGTCGAGCTCCACTCTGCGCGCGACGACGCGGGAGCAGAGCCGGCCCAGCTCCACCCTCAGCTCCCGTGGTTCCGCCGCCAGCCACGACCACAACGCCGCCTCCGCAAGCACCATCCGCGGCGGGGCTAGGGGCTCGTGCTCCTCTGGCTCTCTCTAGTGATGAATTGACTCGAACCAGGGCGAGATCGAAGATGATGTGCTACCGTTCCGCCGCGCCAGAGTTGTTCCACGACAAAAGCGACATGTGCAGGCGTGCAGCGATGGCATCCCCGGCGCCGGCTGCAGCGTCTCCTGCCACTCCGGCCATCCTGCACATGCTTTGCTTGTGACGTACCAGGAATCACTACAAGTTGGCAATTTCAATTCACGTCTACATATCAGTCCTAATTGTTGATTGTTTCTCTGATTATCCATTGTCAGATTGAGCGGCGGCGGGCGAGCTCCTACTTGCCGAGGCAACGCTCGCCCTCATCCCAGGTCCTCAGTGTGCGCCTCACTGGCCGGCCACCGTGCCCCACCACGATGCGCCGGTACAGGCTGCTCCACCGCAGCGCTATTCTTTGCTCGTAGTCCAGCGTCGGTACAGCAACGCGGACGACGCCGAGGCGGGGTTCATCGACCCGGGCTGCCGTCGCCGTGACTGCGGACGACGTCGCCCTCGGCACGCGTGGGCGGCTGTGCCGTCACGGCCATGGATGCCGGACGCCAGCCGGTGAGCTAGCTGATGTAGTTCATTCCGCCGCCGAGGATGCTGAGGTCGACGTCGACGTCGTCCGCGGCCACGGCGGCGGCGGCGGCGCGGGTCGACGAACCCTGACTCGGGCGTCGTCTGCCGCCGCCCGGCGCGCTGCTCCTCCGCCGTCGGCAGTCGCTCCTTCGCCGCCCGCGCGCCGCTCCTCCCCCCGCCGCCCGCGCACTGCGCTTCCCCCTGCCACCCGCACTCTTCGCCTCCCCCGCCGCCCGCAGCGCATTCTCCCGTTGGCGCCTCGTGGGCCTCGTCCCCTCCCTCCTCGTAGCGCACCCGCCCGTCTCGCGTGACGCCAGCGTCTCGTGCGTGGCGTGACGCCGTGACCCGTCGGTCGGCCTGCCCAAGCCATAGAGGAGAAGAAGAGTGATAGAGAAGAGGGGAGAGAGAGGAGCTGACGTGGCCACGCTGACATGTGGGCCCTACGTGGGTCCCATGCTGACTCAGCCGCCACGTTGGATAAAACCAGGGTCAAAACCACCGAATGACCTAAAGTGAATGGTTTTGTTAGTTGAGGGATGTCCGGTATCTGGTTTTGCGGTTGGGGGACGATTTTGTAACTCGATGACAAGTTGAGGGACCTTCGGTGTACTTTTTCCTTTTTAGAAAGGATTGGGAGTTTAGAGGATGAGGCTATTAACTACTTTGTTTGGTTGGGATGCATAGGAATTTTGGTAGGATGGGGATGAGTAATTGAGGAAGGAACTCCCTCCTTTTCAATATCTGGGTAGGGGGTGATAATTGGGAGGGAATTTCTCCTTTACTTTGCCTAAACAAATCTCAGCCATCCGTTTATTAATGGCTTAATCTCTAACTAAACTCCCTATCAATTTCCACCACCTCTACTAAACAGGATATTGGGATTAAAATTCAAATTCCCATCTTAGTCTCACCATCAATTCCCTCGTGTAAACTCCCAATCCCCTTCCCTCGAGTTGCCAAACAAGCTGTATGGGCTTTTCCGCGTGGATATAGTAGAGAAATAAGTTCACCAGAGGTCTCTTAACTTAACAGCGAGATTTTTAGAGGTCCCTAAACCACAAAACCAAATATGTGTACCCCTAAACTCACACAAACTGTTCAAAAGAGGTCCCATGGCAGTATATGTGGGTGGTTAAACTGACGTGGCATCCTAGTTAGCAAATTTTTTTAAAGTATGTGGGACCCACATGTCAGTTAACATCGTTTTTTCTTTTCTTTTCTTCTCCTTCTCTTCTCTTTCTCTTCTTCTTCACTAAGTGAGCACGATGGGCGGGCGGCGGGCGAGCGCGGCTGCCGAGTGGCGGCGGGCAGCGGCAGGCGAGCGTGGCCTGCGGGCGAGCGGGCGAGCACGACGGCGGGCGAGCAGAGGAGCGCGACGGCTGGTCAGCGCGGCAGCCGAGCAGCGGCGGGCGGCGGCAGGCAAGCGCGGCTGGCGGGCAAAGCGGCGATGGGCGGGCGGCGGGCGAGGGCAGCAGCGGGTAGAGCGGATGAGCACGACGGCGGGCAAGCGGACGAGCACGACAGCAGGCGAGCGAACGAGCACGACGGTGGGTAGAACGGATGGCGCCCCATGCCCCATGGCGTGGTGGTGGAGATATCGGCCGATCCGGAGTCCAGGAACACGGAGAGCGTGTAGGACTCGTCGATGGCGGGGCCGAGCGGGACATCGGGGGCAGAGACAGAGAGCGTGAGGATGCGGGTGGGGACGCGAAAGAGGGTGTACTTGGCGGGGGGAACTAGCGGCAAGAACGACATGCTCGTTCGCTCTGTCCGCTCTGCGCGCCACTCTCGCCGCCGCCGCCGACGCGACTGGCAGAGTAAGCCGCGCGGAGCTCGCCCACTGCCGCCACGTTCCTGCTTCGGCCACCTCCGCCGTTGCGCCCCCCTCCTCCGCCCCCCGTGCTCGTCCGCTCGCCCGCCGTCCGCTCTGCTCGCAGCCCGTCGCGCTTGCCTTCCGCTCGCCCACCATCGCCCATCGCTGCTCTGCCCGCATCCCGACGCCGCTCCGCCCGCCGTCGTTCCGCCCACAGCTGCGCTCACCTACCGCCGCTCGGCTACTGCGCGGACCAACCGTCGCGCTCGCCCGCCGCCCTCCCATCGCGCTCACTCTGTGAAGAAGAGAGAGAAGAGGAGGAGAAGAAAAGAAAAGAAAAAAACGATGTGCAACTGACTTGTGGGCCCCATGTACTTTTTTTTTTTTTTTTGCTGATTAGGATGTCACGTTAGCGAATCCGTCCACATATACTGCCATGGGACCTCCTTTGAACTGTTTGTGAGAGTTTAGGGGTACACATTTCTGGTTTTGTGGTTTAGGGATCTCAAAAAAATCTCGCTGTTAAGTTGAGGGACTTCCGGTGAACTTGTTCCTATAGTAGACGATTCAGAAGGCCCAACTCGTGCCCGTCTCACTGATGGGCCGGGTGCTCCGCGGGCGGCCCACTTGAACGCGCCGCCTCTCCTAATCTCTTTGCTTACTCGCGGTTCGCGAAGCGCCGTCACAGCGGCTGCTTCCCCCTCTCTCTTCCGCCTCGGCGAGCAGCGACACCACCGGAGCAGGGCGGCCGGCGGCGACGGGCGGGGCCCGACGGGGAGGAGGTAGGCGGGCTTGGATCTGCAGGGCTCACGCGGCGTAAGAGCAGGGGAAGCCGTATCTCCGGCGGCGTTCATCGGTGAGAGGCGACAAACCCTAAGCATCTAGTACCATCTAGGTCGAGCTTTAGCTGAAATCTGTCGTGTGTGCGTGCGTTTTGTTCATCGGAATTCATGGCGATGGCTGCCTGACTGCTGGTTTTTTTTCTTCTCACTCCCTCCACAGCAGCAGGAAGTCGTCATGGCGACGGCGGAGCCGGTGGAGCCGCAGTCGCTGAAGAAGCTGAGCCTCAAGTCGCTCAAGCGCTCGCACGACCTCTTCGCGCCCACCCACTCCCTCCTCTTCACTCCCGATCCGGAGAGGTAAATCCTGCGCGCTCCCCTCTCTGCCCCCATCGTTCACCCTAGAACCCTAACGGCGCTGTTTGCTAAACTGTTTCCCCCCTTTGGTTTGGTTGTTGTGGCGGACGGCAGTAAGCAGGTTCGTGTCGGCTGCAAGGTCTGTTCGCACGTCTCTGTTCTCTACTTGTTAAGATTCCGTCCTTTATTTGCTTGGTTGATGAAGCCCCGAAAATAATTGATGGCGTTGTCGGATCTTTCAGGTGAATGCAGAGTACAGCGCGGTGAAGAACCTACCAACAGATCAGGGCCGAGGACAGGTCAAGAGTGCTGCGGCACCTTCAACTGCATTGGCGCTTCCAGGTAAAATATGGTGCCCTTTTATTTTGTATAATTGCATCTTTTGTTTTCCGTAGGTAAAATCTCATGGTATTCTTGAACAATTACAGTATTACGCAAATGCACATTGATGTAGATTGTTTGTGCTGCAAAAATCGAGACACCTGACACAAGCATAGCAAGCTTCCGTTTAAAACTGATTTTACTTTTACATTGAGCTCACAAATATCTTTTCAGGAACACAAGATGTCAAAGATGCTGATAACAAAGGCAGCAGTACTGCTATTGTTCCTGCACCACATATGCTCCCCAAAGCACCGTAAGTCCATTCATAGTTCGCTTGCCTGTAACTTGTTTACTCTTTTCTTAATTGTAGGCACTGAGAACTTCCTTTTTTTGATTTTTTAGGGATTCAACGATACCAGGCAAGAATACAACTATAACAATTCCTGGTTCATCTGACAGGTTTGTTCACTTATCTTTGCTTTAATCGTTGATATGCAGCTCAAACACTTGATGTTGCCCCAATGTGGCTAATCCAAAAACAGAAATGCCTTCAATTGAAACTTTGAACTAGCTCATGGCGTTTCCCCTTAGCCCTTTATGAACACCACCTTTGAGTGGCTCTAGTGCTTAGGTGAATTAGGATATGGGTGGGTCTTGGTGCTCAGGAATGGGTATCAGCTAACCTTTTTCGTCTTTAGAATGTGGGCAGCCTTGATAACTTGAAGTAGTAGTTGTTAAAGAAAATGTTGTTCCACTGAGTTGCAATACCATCATTGTGTATAGGTGCTTCTTAGGCTCCTAATGGCATGTGTGTTTTGATGCCAAGAAGAGAGGCTAAGAAATTTAGCCTCCCTAACCTGGAACTAGTAAACTGGAGGGAGAGAGGCTAAGCCACTCAATAGATTATTAATTGCTTTAAGTCGATGATGGGGTCTAACAGGATCACCAGTGTGGCTACGCATTGCAAGAATTTAGACTCTAGCTCCTGTTAGATGTGGCAGTGAGGTGGAAAACCAAACTCCTCTCATGCTAGAAACACTAGCAAGCGTATATATTCCATCCTTTATGATAGAACAGGTTGAAAATTTTCTAGTTTAACTGAAATATGAATTTCTGATGGCTTATATCTCATTTCAGATTCTCTACATCTGCACTGATGGAAAGGATACCAAGTAGATGGCCACGGCCTGTCTGGCATGCTCCTTGGAAGAATTATAGGGTAACTTTTTCCTCATTAGTGCTGGATTTTCTAGTTTTGCCTATGATTTGCACTAATGGTTTCTCAAAATGTGTGCAGGTGATCAGTGGTCACTTGGGATGGGTGCGGTCAATTGCATTTGATCCAAGTAACGAATGGTTCTGTACGGGTTCTGCCGACAGGACGATTAAGGTGAGCTTGCTCTCTTCTTCTGCAGTAGTGTTCCAATATGCTCTGGGATTTTTACATGTTACTAGCTGAATGCCCGTGCTTTGCGACAGGAATTAAAAAAGAGAACCCCGCCATACACTTTAAAGCCTCAAAAATTAAAATAAAATTATTCTAATTGTAAAACTCTTTAGGTCATATTATTCGTCATCATTTTTATCTCAATTTAAAATAAACTTTCCTTGTTTGATGGCGTAAGGTTGGGGAAGGGAAAGTCCACATATCTCACTGTTTGGTGGGTGGTGGTGGGTGGTGGCAGATTCACCACTCACCACCACCATTGGGGTCTTTTAGAGGAGTATAGATTTAGTTTGTTTATGTTGCTTTTTATTATTCTAAGCTGTTTGTGAACGTTTTGTGGCATACATCTGAAATCTTCATAGATTTAATTTTTTGCTGGATTGCTATACATCCCTTACAAATTTTCTTCAACAAAAGACCACGTGGTATGATAATGGCAAGTGAGGCTAGGGCCATTTGACACAACAAAGTGTTGTTTTCTGAGACTTGCACTCTTTATATGAATACAAACTCCCCTTTCTTCTTTACACTAATTTCTGTTGATATACATATCCAGTATGGGCACTGATCATAGGGTATCAGCATACCACAACTTTATTTCATCTCGTATATAGCACTTTTATTCGTTTAAGGGCTAGTTTTGAGCTCGACAACAGATGTCTGTTTTTTTTTTAATTCTATTAAAATTTTTCTGTTTGTTTGTTGCAATTTCTTCAAGTCTAGCAATCTTGTTACTCCTAACAGTGTATATGTTCTGTTACTCTGTGGATGACCCCTGGAGGATTCAGAAAAATACTGAGTGCTTATTAGTTGTTCGTGAAGTCCTATTATCAGGGTTTATTTGGCCATTAAGTTTTTACTAGCTGTTTCTTTTGGATGATCTTATGGTTCTGATAGAAAAACGAGGCTATCTCTTTTCTCTCTTTCCCTCCTCACATTTACTAGTACATTAAGTCAACAAACCGACTTCCCCAACAAGCAACACTACTATAATTTCTAAATGCTGTTAGCTCATTCATCATGTGATTCTGTCTTGTTGTAGATCTGGGACCTTGCATCAGGAACATTGAAGCTTACATTGACTGGCCATATTGAACAAATTCGTGGTACGTTTTTCTTGGCATTGGTTATTAGGATCTGTATAGCAGCCTTCCACTGCTACTTGTTTTACTCTATAAGTTATAAGTTCATTTACTGATAAATTCAATGTGCATTGTAGGGCTTGCTGTGAGCCAACGGCACACATATTTATTTTCTGCTGGTGATGACAAACAAGTAAAGTGTTGGGATCTTGAACAAAACAAGGTTAGCTTATAGTTCGATGTAGATTGCAGTATACAGGGCATATTGGCATTATCGTAACATTTTGTTTCTTTTCATTTTTAAGGTTATTAGGTCTTATCATGGCCATTTGAGTGGGGTGTACTGCCTTGCTCTACATCCAACAATCGATATCTTGCTGACTGGTGGTCGCGATTCAGTTTGTAGGGTATATAATCACCTCTTTTATTTATATCTTATGCATAATCATTAGCATACATTGTACTAAGGTAGGTTTGGGTTTTTGCTGACCTTCATACACAGGTCTGGGACATCCGAACGAAAGCTCATGTTTCTGCTTTAACTGGTCATGATAACACCGTATGCTCAGTGTTTGCTCGTCCTACGGTAAGAAAGCTTTTGAATCTTTTGCAGCTTATTACTGCAATATCTAGTTTTGCGACTTAATGTTATTCTTTAGTTGGAGGCTTTCTTGTTCATAGCCATGTAGATCAGCTGAGTTTTCCTTTTAAAAATTCAATGACAAAACTACGCAACAATGATCTTGAGCACAGTTATCTTACACTTTTGAGGTTGTTCCTTGTGCTGGATAGTTTCTTGACAACTGAAGTACATACTGGCTTCATTCTTTGAAAAGTTAATCTTATGTTTATTTGTCTCAGGATCCACAAGTTGTCACGGGCTCACATGATTCAACTATCAAGTTCTGGGACCTTGTAGCTGGTATTTACTTTAGAATTTTACTACTGTGTTTCTTGAGTGTTTTCTTGTATCTGTCCCTTTACAGTTATTTTTCCTATAGGAAGGACTATGTGTACTCTTACACATCATAAGAAATCAGTTCGGGCTATGGCGCTGCATCCAAAAGAGTTAGTTTCAATGCCATTAAATTTTCATACTATCTAGTATCTACCCTGCTGGAAATAATTATAATTTTTTTTCTTGTGCAGGAAATCGTTTGCATCTGCATCAGCAGACAATATAAAGAAGTTTAGCCTGCCCAAAGGCGAATTTCTACACAATATGCTGTGAGCATTCTTTTCACATTGTTTTTTGTTAACAGTGTTTGTGATATTTTTTTTTATGTAAATAGCACTGGCATATTATATTGTGCATTGTAAAATGCTTGGATACTGGATTTGAAGCTCATGTAGCTTATATGTAAGATCTGCTTAGGAGTCCAATAACCTTGAACTCACTTTCTTCTTTTAACCTCTAAGCTAGTTAACCTGAAAGAGTTAGGATATTTGAACTGAGCCTCTCTAGTAAGCTAGACTATGGAAAAGTATCAATTACCCTATACTTACATTTAGCTGTAGTCCTGTTTAAATTTTACTTTTTACTGAGTAATGAAGCATATTGTTTGTTGCCTTTCCATCTTTGGTGTGTTTCCTTGGCTTCAGTTTAAACTCTTAAATCGTGCACCCTTTTTTATACTTAACATGAAGCTGCAGGCTGGAGATATATTTTGAAACAGAAATAGGGTTTGATTGGAGGTATTTCGAGGTTGATCTAAGGAAAAGAAAATCATATTCAGATGCCTTAGCAATGTGATTTCAAGGGCTTTGCTTACTGTTGTAACTTGTAAACGAACAATAGCTAGGATCATATAACTTAAACTTGTCACCGATTGTCACCTTTCAGGTCCCAGCAGAAAACCATCATAAACTCAATGGCTGTAAATGAAGATGGTGTCTTGGCAACTGGAGGTATGCATTGTTGAAAACATCGAGTTTTTGCCTCCTTCCTATTTATTTTATTAAAGAAAAAGATGGTTTAATGTATTTAGTAATGCTGTATTTTCTATGCTATACTTGCTGGCCGCAACCGATTCAATAAAATTTTTTGCAGATCATATTATTAAAAGTAGTAATATCTTGTGCAGGGGATAATGGGAGTCTCTGGTTTTGGGATTGGAAGAGTGGCCATAACTTTCAACAAGATCAGACTATAGTACAACCTGGTAAGTATTGATTTGCATCATGTATGGGCTGTTATTATGTTTCTTTAAGTCACTAAATCGATCATCTTGATTGATCTTATTTCCAATTATAGGATCATTGGAGAGTGAGGCATGCATATATGCCCTTTCATACGATGTTAGTGGATCACGGCTGGTGACATGTGAAGCTGACAAGACAATAAAAATGTGGAAGGAAGATTTGTCAGCCACTCCAGAGACCCATCCTATCAATTTCAAGCCTCCAAAGGACATCAGAAGATACTGATCAGACACCTGGTGCATCTAATTTCAGACAGGGTACTTTTAACTCCCTAAATACCTATGTTGTTGTAGTGTTTATGCTAAATTCAAATTGGTTGAATCACACTAGGGATTCCATGCATCGCCATGGAATGGACCTGTCTGAATTTTGCCGTGCTTCGCAAATCCTCCTTATCTACCGAACAGAATATTGACTGTAAGAAGTTTTCATATATTAGAAGAGTTTCCTCTTGGCGAACATATCTGGGTTTGCCCATAGTTGTGGCACAGCATTGCATTTTTCTTTCTATTCTTTTCTTTTCATTTTTTTTTGGAGAGGGCATTGCATTCACATAGCTTCCGGATAATATAATCCTATCGTTGGATGTAAAGCCCCTATAGGGCTTTAATCAGCACGTGACTTGCACGTGCGTTGACATGTGGAGCGGCGACACCAGAACTCCTGCCGGTCATGTATTGTATGTTTCAGTAAAGTTACTCTTCAAATTTTAGTGCGGCATCCTGTAAAGTTACTCTTAAAATTTATGCTCAATACTCCTATATGGTGTTTCTATACCTGGGAGCAAAATTGTCATGCCAATAGACTCGATTATTCCACTTGAATTACAGGCGGGTCAAGTCCTGAATTTGACAGGGATTATCAATCAATTCATGGTTGTCCACATAAGCAGGCGAGTTAAATTATGTGCTGGTCTTGAATTGGTCGGATAAGTGGCTCCTGTCATGGGCATGGATGGAACTAGAAGTATAAGCGCGGCGCCACGCCGCGCGCAGCTGCGCACACAAGGATATGATTAACAGCTTAAGCAAAGCTACTGTTAAACATATAGCTATTGTTGACCAAATGTTGCTATGTAATTTTATTTAGCTTTCAAAACACATCTATGTGTAACATAATGCCAATATCTTGTACACCAAAAATAGAATCATTACATAGCTTCTTAAATTAAACAAAGTTTTAGGAAACTATCAGGGCTAGTTGAACAACATGAGCCTAACAAAAAATAAGTCCACATGGTAACTTTTTTTCCCAACCAATTCCCGTTCCCCAGACATACAGGATGTAGGACCATATGTCTCGTACATTCATAGTACCAATTGCTCATATAAAAAGAAATTACAAATTAAAAAATTTGGAAAGTAAAGATGCTATAACGGAAAAGGGCTCTATTGAGTTAGCAAATATAGAGGCGACCAGCCCAATATCATCAAGTTTGAGAATTAGTATAAAACCCAAAGAACACAATTGCTTGCACTTAGAAAAGCAGAGTCATTCAATTCTCTGCTATGCCAGCAACTCCAAAGTCCTTACATGGAGCACCTCCTTACCTGCAAGCAAGAAGGCACACAACTGAATTAGTTTGGTATGGGAATAATTTGCAGAAGTAAATAAGATAAATTATTAAAAATAAATAAAGGAGGATAGGAGTAGAATATATTAGCTAGGTAATCCATGCAAGCCATGGAACAACAGAGATCATGTATTCTATGTGGGACAACAGAGATGTATTTTTCAACAACTCTTTTAGGACCTATGCACATATAATATAATAAGGTACACGATACATAAAGCAATTTGGGATCGATCTAATATATTAGGGCATGTAGGTAAGCAAAAGGATTGCAGCAAACCATTTGATTGTACACCACTTTTGGTAATTCGCCCTAGCAACCAAAAGTAGGTATTTTCTAAGCTTCTATCTGCGATATTATGATGAGAAAATTAATTACCTTTTATGGTGCTTCGTACATTGCTTTTTCTTACCCCTGCAAGAGAGGTGAGGAGATCAAGCAGCAACCACAAGCCATAAATCGGTTGCTTACTGATCAAGGGTCTGCGATCATCCAATGAATGCTTCGAAGTAGGAGTATTGTCAAGGACTGTAGATCTGGTTAATAATAAAGTCAAGTGTGGCAAAACACCATAACCTATAAAAAAAACAGGCCCTATTAAGCTCTAAAAGAACCTAATCCAATTTTCAGTATGCAATGAACGTTAGATGGTAATAGATCTTCAGTTCCAATTGAGCTTTAACTGTCAAGCTAGGCATGAGAGCCTTATAGACTTTAACATGTTCTGAAAGGATGCGGCTCAATGAGTTATAATTTTATTTATAGTTTTACAAAGTGCAACATTGTAGGACAATAAATATTAGGCCCTTCAATTTTCGCTGTCAGTTTCATGTGTTATGATAGCATCAGGGAAATGCTAGGTAGTTCTGCTCTAATATGAAAATTACAATTAAAAGGATGGCTATTGACTGATAAGAGCGTTAGATCACAGTTCATGTTCCATTTTTCCAAAAGAACAATTCTGTAAGTTTGAAAGCATGCTTGTTAGCATCACAAGTAAGACCAATCACTACATCTGGCCTCACATAGATAACCCACTTAACCAAATACAATAGTGTAAAAGATAATGCAGATAATCTGCCTAACCAAAATCCAGGTTCAAGGAGCTCATTCACATTCAGAAAAGTTGTATATCAATGAACCTAGAGCATGAAAAGCCTAGTAGGATACTATAATGAGCCATGCAATTTTTTTTAACAAGAAACAGACTAACACGAGGCACATACAGTGGTCTAATAATAAAAAAAAGACCACCACCGAGAACAACTGAACAAGTCAGCATAAAAACCACCAGAACCCACAATAATTCAATACTTTCCTGCAGTTTGAATAGGTAAGATGCAGTCGAATAAAAAACCTGAATGATTGCATCACCGCCGAGGCAGTAAAACATGCACATAAAAAACTCGTCACTACCGCTTTGCTTTGGGATTTGTTAATTCAAATTGCTTTGCAATCGACCAAAATAACAGCCTCAAGTGTACTTAGGAACACGTTCAGGAAAAAAAAAAAGGTTTAGGAACTTCCAGTACATCGCAAGAACCTGGTTGGACAAAAAGAAACTTCCAGTAGTCTGAAGAATAAAGACTCCATAAAACTCATCACTTACACAGATACAGCAAGGTCGTCGTCGCCGCCCGCAACGCTTAATCATGGGCTGATGTCTGCTGTCATCCAACCAATGCGTCCGTCGGTTCGGAAGGAGGAAGAGCCGACAACAAAACTTGAGCCACAGCGAGTTGCAATCGTCCGGCCCTAGACCGGGGCCAATCCGGCGACAAGGTGCCAGATCCGGCATTCCCCGAGGACGGCTCAGCGTCGGCGCGGAGGATGGGTGCCACCTTGGCTGGAAGAATATGGGACGGTACAGACTGCAGCCATAGGGTCGTCAGGTAGAAGGGGCATCGGCTAGCAACGTCGACCGGGAGGAAGAGGACCGCCGGTGGTGGGGTGGGAGCGACGGCGGCAGGAGGCACGGGTGTTGGGGGGGGGGGGGGGTGGAAATAGGCACCTGAGCGGGAGGACGACATGGCGCGGGGGGTTAGGGGTGGTGGGTAGGGCGGTTGATGGGGCCGCCGGCGGCCTCGCTTTCGTCCGCTTTGAGCGCCCACCGCCGGCTGCTGAGGCCTTCGCCACCTTGCCACATCCGCTGGCCCTGCTCCTCGCCGCTGACCTTGCTCGTCAAATCCGACACCCCACCGAGCGAGGCGAGAGGGTATACCTGGCCAAATGGGCCGTGCCAAGCCGGGCCGGCCCGAGCACGGCAGTACTGTAGCCGGCCAAGGCCCGGCACGGCACGCCAGCCTGTGGGCCGTGCCAGCACGGCCCGTTATCCCGTGCCGTGTTTGGGCCGACGCCTCAGCCCGTAGGCCAGCACGGCACGGCACGTTTACTTTAGCGTGCCGGAATGGCACGGCCCACCGACCCATTTATTTTTCCTACGATTTTCTAATTTTTCCCATATATTTCTCATATTTTTTATTTTTTTCCACATTTTATCCTATTTGTACCATATATTTTATGATATATTTCCTAAATTTTCCTCACATTTATCCTATATTTATAATGTTTTTTCTGTCTTTTTTTTCTTTTTTCCCCTCAAATTTCAATTTTTATGGGCCACATGTACTAGTGGGCCGGCTACCAGCCCACGGTCCACTACAGTAGCCGTGCCGGCCCGGCACGACCCAGCACCTCCTTGGGCCGTGCTTGGGCCGAGGCCTTGGCACGTGGGCCAGCACGGCACGGCCCGCTATAGGAGCCGTGCCTAACGGGCCGTGCCCTAGTGGGCCGTGCCGTCAGTGTGCCATGCCGTGCTGGGCCGGGCCGCCCGTTTGGCCTGCTATACGACAGGGCAAAAGAGAGGAAGCGGCGGCATTGGGGAGATGAAGAGTACGGGCGGTGACGACGGCTAGGGAAGAACGAGGAGGCGGCGGTGGCGCATGAAGAAGGGGCTAGGGAGTACCGGCTCCGACGGGCGGCGGTCGCGTGGTCAGCTCCGCCGCCACCTCAAGCCTTGATGGACGCGTCCGCCTTCCGTCCCGTTGACGTCACCACAAGGGGAGGGGTAAGGAGGGAGGAGGCACCGGCGGCAGATCGTGGTGTGTGTGGGCATGCGGAGGCGACGGGTGACGGTGGCGGCAGCGGAACCCCTCGCGGGGAAGGCGGACGATGGTGCCGCACCTGTCGGCCTCCGCCGCTTCGTCGTCCGAAGCTATCGCGGCCATCCTCCTCCGTCGCGCCGTCTCCTCCGGCCGCTAGATCCAGCGGCGGCGGAGCTAGATCCAGCCGTGGGAGGGCCAGATCTAGCTACGGTGGCACCGGAGACGAGGCCACGAGCCGCGCCGTCGCACGGCCTGCAAGGAGAGGCAACGGAGAGCGGGGGGAGGACGGACGACGTCGGCGGCGGCGGGTGGAGGGCGTACGACGACGGAGGTGACTCGGGGAGAGCGGACGGAGGCGAGGGGAGTCCCGCGCCGGCGCCGGCGCCGAGCACGGGGCGTGGGTGGGGCGGCGGCCGCGTGGTGAGGGAGTGGGGAACAGCCCTGGTTAGGGTTTAGGGTATATGTGGTGGTTTTTTCGAAAAAACACCTTAGTTTTTAATATTTACAGCGTTACCCCTAAAACGGAATTTTCTCTTCTTCACATTGTATATTTGTGAAATAGGAGGGTTTTTTCGCAACAAACACAACGGGTGTGAACCTGTCCAAGGACGTATACGATATTTCGTGGAAACACAAGGAATTTTTTTGCAAAATATCCTTTTAATCAAACAGGTTCCAACCCGCCGTCGAGACCGGCGCGTGCGCACGCCCCCATAGCGCCCAAAAAAATCGTTGGACCAGTGACCGCTTACGAGCGGTCATGCAGGCGTGCACGAGGAGCCGGAATGAGGAGGAGCGATGGGTAAACCATCCAGATAGCCAAAAAAAATCAAGAAAATGAGAAAAACGGTGGGGTTAGGGGAGTTATTGATTGATGATTAGAGGCAAACAAGAGCTATCTAATTTCAGCCTTGTAACCTAATTTAATTTCTCTTGGTCTTGAGGCCTACAGCGATGGATGCATCCATGCAAATGCATGTGCCGCAAAGGATGTCCCTATGCTGATGGGTATGAATATTGTTTCTTGTTAAGCTGTCTTATTAATTTGTTCGTTGTTAGTCGATACAGGCTAACACTGAGCTGGCTGACCACAACCGCTAGAAGATGATTAGTTTCCCTGCTACAGTGTACATTTTGTTCCCATGATCAAACTTTGTGAGTAATTTATCCAAGTATGACAGGACCAGAGCACACTACACTCTTTCGTTTTGTTCGTAAACAGATAAGAAAAGCCGTGTTGAAATCATAAATATATCCGCTCCAACAATAATATCATTGGCGTTTAATTATCTCGGCTGAATTATTTGATATCATGATTTCGGCTGAATTATTTGATATCATGATTTATCGCATATGTTCGTATGTATACGTTAATTAAACAGTCAAGCAGGTACATAGCGCTCTCCAACACCACTAAGATCAATTAACCTCGGTCACTTCAGGAGTCCCAGTTGATTAACACGGCTTATTCTGAAGATACTTAGAGGCATCGATCAATACAGTTTGTGCTACTAATTCAGGTAATTAGGGCCAAAGATTATGCGTACCTGTGTTGTTATGGAAACATACGTGCGTGCATGATTAGTTATTACAGGTCGTCATTGATTGAGACCACGATAGTAATATTGATGTCGTTCCGTATATATACTACATCTTTCCAGAATTCCAGTCCCTCAGCACTGCACTGCAGAAGGAGAACATGCATGCATGCAGCAGGACAAGCTAACTAACCAGTTGCTGCCACAGAGCCCGAGGGCCACAGAGCCTTGGGGTTTTCTGTTCACGAGCCGTACAATAATTAGCATGTAAAGACAAGTGCTTAATACTACCTCCATCTTAAATGTTTGACGGCGTTAACTTTTTTAAATATGTTTTACTGTTCGTCTTATTTAAAAACTTTTACGAAATATATAAAACTATATGTATATATACTTTTAACAATGAATTAAATGATAAAAAAATCATTAATAATTATTTAATTTTTTTAATAAGACGAACGGTCAAACATGTTTAAAAAAGTCAACAGCGTTAAACATTTAGGGACGAAGGGAGTAGCTAGCTATAAGCTGAGCTCTCGAGGGCTTTGTCAAGTGACTCTGTGGCTATATATATACGTGACTGTGGGTGTGCATTGCCAATGCAGGTAATTAAGCAGTACAGCACCAATTAAGCAAAGCCACAGCAACGAGAGAGAGCTTGTGAAGTTGTGATATTTCATTTTGACCATATGGGTTACTCCTACTCTTCCGCCGCCGTGGCGGTGAGCGTTTTGGTGGTGGCGTTGGCGGCGGCGGCGTCGGGCCAGCTGTCGACGACGTTCTACGCCTCGTCGTGCCCGACCGCGCTGTCGACGATCAGGAGCGCCGTGAACGCGGCGGTGGCCAGGGAGCCCCGCATGGGCGCCTCCCTGCTCAGGCTCCACTTCCACGACTGCTTTGTCCAAGCAAGTCTCATCCATTAGTCTTAAAATCTTAATTATTACTCCTGCCCCTATACTTAATTCTCTATTGCTTTATATGATTTTTTTACTTAATTCTCTATTGCTTTATATGATTTTTTTTCCGATTACATGATAGACACATGCCACTACACACGTAACACTATACTTATATATCCACGAATGTGTCCTCATAACACACGCTTAAAGAGATATATTCTTGATCTCAGTGAAATTCTATTGGGATATACTACTAACATGAATTGGCTAGGTAGGATGTTGTGATTTACAGGCCAGGGTGTTTGGTTCACGATAACACTTTACCACACCACATTTTTTTGTTGTCACAGTTTATTAGACATATACTTTATACTTTGTTCAGTGTAACCGTTATGGCTTATTCACATTTTTTTCAATAGCATGTCTCTTATGTCATAGACTTAATTTTCTTACCAATTTCATAGGGATGCGACGCGTCGATACTGCTGGCCGACAATGCCACCTTCCGGGGGGAGCAGGGTGCGTTCCCTAATGTCAACTCGCTGAGGGGATTCGAGGTCATCTCTAGCATTAAGATGCAACTCGAGGCATCTTGCAGGCAGACCGTCTCCTGCGCCGACATCCTTGCTGTCGCCGCCCGCGACTCCGTCGTCGCCGTACGTCGATCCCAAGCTTGCTAGCTTGTCTCAAATTAATTGAACGCAACAACTCTCTCCGTCCTGTAAAAGACAAATCTCAAATGAGATGTGACACATTCTAATACTACGAATCTGGATATAAGATAGTAGATTTATTTTTTTTAGACGAAGAGAGCAGCCATTAACATTGTACGACATGGATGCAGCTAGGAGGTCCATCGTACCCGGTGGAGCTCGGGAGGAGGGACGGGATGACGACGAACCAAACCATGGCGAACACCAACCTCCATCCACCGACCACCGACCTGGGTAACTTCGTCACTAGCTTCGCCGGGAAAGGGCTCAGCCCCACCGACCTGGTTGTACTCACTGGTAATTAAGGCTCCCATTTCTGGTTAATTAATTACTTACTCGTTTCCCTGAGTACGATTTCCTAAACTACATTTTGTAAGTATTATATATACATATTTTAATAAAAGAAATCAAATAATTTTATTTTTAAATTTATAATAGTTAATACTTAATTAATTAATTAATTATACGGTAATAACTTGTTATGTTTTGCGTGAGGCTAAAAAGCTCAGTTCATAAGCATATTCGAATGCACCCTAAGTACTAAGCTGCATGGGGCAAGCTATATGTCACTCAAGTGTTCTTTTTTTAAAATCGCACGAATGTAATCACTATTTTTTTACAGTAAAACCAACCATGCATATGTGAAGCTTGACCGTAATGTAGTGGATGAGTGAGCGATGAAACTAGGTCCAACCTAACAGCTTCATCGGTTTTTTAAAGAAATATCAAATCTAAGGAAAAATCAGAGGTACGAACCATGCGATTTTTAAGGAAAAAAAATTCACACGAGATAGATATATAGCGAATTCGATCTGCAGTAACATATACTCCCTCCGTTTCGAAATGTTTGACGTCATTGACTTTTTAGCACATGTTTGACCATTCGTCTTATTCAAAAAAATTAAGTAATTATTAATTCTTTTCCTATCATTTGATTCATTGTTAAATATATTTTTATGTAGGCATATAATTTTACATATTTCATAAAAGTTTTTGAATAAGACGAACAATCAAACATGTGCTAAAAAATCAATGGTGTCAAACATTTTAAAATGAAGGATGTAGTATATAAGCTCTCCTACTACATAAGTAGGCCTCTTGTTGCGTGGATTAGATAGCTACGGCCCACGGTTATCTGCAGCGGCTTTTTTTTGTGTTCAGTAGATCCAAGCTGATCGATATCAAACAGCTAGACCAACGTATACTAGCTAATTAAAATTAGAAAGGACGTGGATTTTTATCTCTCGAGGGGATATCCTCTCGTTGCTTGTATATAATCTAAATAGTTATTAAAAAATTTAAAATAAAATATATCACTTCACAAACAAATATGTAAGGTCAAATTCGATTTATACCTAAGGTCAATTTACGAAGGGTTAATTTGAGTTGTTTCAGCTTTAATATACGTGTGTAGATGCCACATCAAACTGGTTAATTAGCTGGTGAAAGCAACGGTTTTCTTTATCGTTAGTTGGAAAAATAAATCAGCAGTAGTGCAACAGCAGGAGGCTGCCACTTTCTTCCTTGGAGATGGTGGTCAGGTGAGTACCACCGCCACATTGTTGTCACGTGTCTGTGTCTATTGCTCTGTATTCCCAACCTCTTCTGCCTAGTTTCCCTCGTATTCCGCGCGCACGCTTTTCAAACTGCAAAATGGTGAGTTCTTTTATAAAATTTCTATATGAAATTTGTTTAAAAAATCATAATGGTGAGTTCTTTTATAAAATTTCTATATGAAAGTTGTTTAAAAAATCATATTGATCCATTTTTTTTAAAAAAATATTAATACTTAATTAATCACGTGCTAATAAACTGCTCCGTTTTTCGTGCACTGAAAATGTGTTGGGAACTGGAGAAACGATCACACTCTTCTGGATCCTTCTCGTGCCTCTTAGCTTTTGATCAATCCAAGCCGTCCTTCCTTAATCCAATGGCTAATATAATGTTGTATATGTGGCACAATGACAGAGGGAATAAACATTCTACGTTCATATTATGATGATGATTTCTATGACGGAGATCATTAACTAATTTTGCTTGAAACTGTCCACGTAATTGTCTATACGTTGGAAACGTGATTATTTTTTAATTAGATTTGTCAAACTTTCCTGTGTTTATGGATACTTGTTAATGTTGGTTGGAAGTACTATATATAGGTGTAAATGTTGGATGTTGAATCAATATTGATTAAAGTGAGTCCAAAAAAGGTTGATTTAAAGTATAGTAGAAATAGGTTTTCAAAAATAAATCAGTCCCCTTTCATAATCAAGAAAACAACATATATGTCCTGTAGAATGTGACGCATTCGTTGCATAGTGTTTCTTATAAGTCCTTTTCGTTGATAGGATTTGTTCACTGAATGTGACCAAGTAACTAACTCAGGTACCCTACACTCAATTATCCCCTCATATCGCTAATCTTCTGTGCGAAACTGGGATATGCTTAAGTCAACCACCGCCTTTGCTCCTCATCAAATGTCGGTGCATGTAGTGTTAAAATACGATTATTGGCCTTATCGAGTTGGTTCCTATTTATTTACAACCGTAAATTAAAGTTTTTTTTAAGAAATATTAAACTAAAATTCAATTGTGTAAGCATGTTTTTATCGGAATTTGACCGGTTTTAGATAATAACCACTCAGTTATCACAGTTTTTAATAAAACCACTGGGGAAATGGTTTTTTTTCTCTTCTCTACAACTATTAAAAACACTCCTCATCCCTTTCCCCTCACTCGCGTAGTCGCGTGTAGCGCATTAAAAAAAATCGCTAGATACAAACTGTTGCTACATGCTAAAAAAATCACTAGAATTGAAAAAAACCCAAAAGAAAAAGAAAAAGAAAAAGAAAAGCGGTTGGATAAATAATATCTTGTTTTATACTTAGATTCACATTTTATGCCCTAGCCTATTTTCAATGGTATGGTCATGTTTCAATGCCCGAACATATCAATTAGTAGGAGTAGCTTTTTTTTAACGGATTTACTAGAAGAACTTTTTCTAGCTTTCGAATTTCCAGCCATAAGATGTTGTGTTAAGATTCGTGCTATACTATTTACATATAAGTTAGTTACAGTTAGTTACTACACCGTAACTACATTATAACTTCTATATAATGGGGACATATCCGGTGAAAAACATCAAATAAGTTAAAACCCGTAAAAACTATATCTAAAAGTTCGTGAATTCATGAAAAAATTATTAGAGATAGGTATAGGCATGAAATACATTCATACCAAAACTCAGTCCAAACTCAACTTCATTTGAGAGAAACAAAAAGACAAATTTCTGGTGAACAGTAACAGGACACTATTCATTCACTCGAAATTTGTTTTTTTTTCTCTCAAATGAAGTTGAGTTTGGACTTGAGATTTTGTATGAATGTATTTCATGCCTATACCTATCTCTAATAATTTTTTCATGAATTCACAAACTTTTAGATATAGTTTTCACGGGTTTTCATTTATTTGATGGTTTTCACCGGATATTCCTCCTATATAATTTAGGTATAAAAGACTGTATTTATTTTATATATACAAGTTATAATATTATAGTGTTATAGTATAATTATGGTGAAATTATATTATATAGTTACATTTAAAAGTTTTTCAATAAAAAAGCTTGCGACGATTTTAATGAAGGAACATTTCTGCAAACGTCTGACACAATTAAGTGGATCTTCTGGCTACTACTGTAACTACACATGCAGGAGCGCACACGGTGGGCGTGGCGCAGTGCACCAACTTCCGGTCGCGGCTCTACGGCGAGTCCAACATCAACGCGCCGTTCGCGGCGTCGCTCCGGGCGAGCTGCCCGCAGGCCGGCGGCGACACCAACCTGGCGCCGCTGGACTCCACCCCCAACGCCTTCGACAACGCCTTCTTCACCGACCTCATCGCCGGCCGCGGCCTCCTCCACTCCGACCAGGAGCTCTACCGCGGCGACGGCTCCGGCACCGACGCCCTCGTCCGCGTCTACGCCGCCAACCCCGCCCGCTTCAACGCCGACTTCGCCGCCGCCATGGTGCGCATGGGCGCCATCAGGCCGCTCACCGGCACGCAGGGCGAGATCAGGCTCAACTGCTCCAGGGTCAACTGATCTGTATATCTCTACGAAATGCGTCGATCTACTGTACCTACGTGGATAGAATCGAATCGAATAAGACTAGACTATTAATAAGCTAATAAGTGATTAGCGATATCGCGATATGTATAAGTGCGCAACGTGATATTGAATTTATGTAAGGGCTTGTCCGGTTTATTGCCATTTTCAACACTATCGACTTTTAATATTATTATTAAATTTTGGTAGAATAAACGTACTCTTGTCATTGCTGCCTACTATCATTTGGTATTTTCAAAAATTTAAACACTACCAAAATTAATCTAGACTCTTGTCATTGCCATCTTACTAAAATTTGGCATTTTAAAAAATCTCGTCTCATAAAAATAAAAATAATATCAGTAAGTCTACAAATCGTGCACCTCTCAGCTTCAGATATGCAGGGTTTAATTCCTCTCTGACTTTCTGTTCATATATTGGCCATTTTGTGGCTTCGTGTAGTTGTGCCTACCAAGTGAAGCGCCGACCAACCATATGCATCTCGTTGAATGCTTTGTGATTAATTGATAAACATGGTTAATTAACTTTTTTCTGATCAAGTCAAACTGTCAGAGTATGAACTCTTTTTCTGAGTCCTGAACTTTTTAAGTCATCAGACATGAAAGTGGAGTAAGAGTATCAGGCTATCAGTTACAGCTACTGGATCAAAGTCATACATACTGATAGCAAATACTACTAATTAATCAGTAGGTCCACCTACTAAACGCTCTGCTCACCTTCAGATGTTTCTTTTTCTTTTTCTTTCTTCTTTTTTTTCTTTTATTCCTTTTTTTGTGGGGAGCTCACCTTCAGAGTTAGAACACCTATTTATGGTTTTATAGGAGTACAGAACAATATACAAGACAAATACACCTGCAGACAATATGTACAAATTCTTATTGTTGCTAAGTAGGAGTACGAAAATGCATTATTTGGTCATAATGGCATTGATAATCCATTGCTGATCGGAATGAGAATGCAGAAGATAAGGGCCTGCAAAACTGAACGTGTAGTGGTGTCATTTTTCCCAAGAAGTGGTTGTGTGCTCACTGAAAATCAATGTTGATTTGGTGATCAAATTAACATCTTCTCGGAGTTTTCACTCTCAAATAGTGGCTTTCATCAGAAATGTCAACTGCCCGCGACTGCGTACAAAAACTCAGTGCATTTAACTTTTGAACTCATCACTATTACAAGAGGAAATGAAAATCAAAGAACACCAGAACGTTTAAACAATATTCACTTCACTCACACAAACTGAATTAAATGAGCTAATTAAACCACAATGAAGAACTCTCATCCACAGGAGAAGGTAATTAATTAACATACTTAAGCACTATTAATTCATTCGGAACTCATTTAATTTAGGCCATCTCGCGTTCTTGCTAGTAGTAGTTCACCTTCCTGCAGTTGACGCGGACCTCGCCTTGGCTCCCGACGAGCGGGCTCAGGCTGGCCATCCTCACCATGGACTCGGCGAAGTCTCGCCGGAACGCGTCCGGGTTGGCGGCGTAGAACCTGACGAGCCCGTCGGTGGCGCCGAGGCCGCCGCCGGCGAACAGCTGCTGGTCCGAGTGCAGGAGCCCCCTGGCGCGCAGCAGCGAGGCGTAGTACGCGGCGTCGAACCTCGCCGGCGTCGGGTCGAGCGGCGCGAGGTTGTCGTCGCCGGCGCCGGCGGTACGCGGGCAGGTCCCCCCGAGCGACGCGGCGAGGGAGGCGTCGAGCGTGGCCGTCTCGTTGTAGAGGCGGTCGCGGAAGTTGGTGCAGCGGGAGAAGCCCAGCGTGTGGGCGCCGGAGAGGAGGACGAGGTCCTGCACGGAGAGGCCCTGCGCGGCGAAGCTGGAGACGAGGCCGTCGAGGTTGAGCGTCGGCGCCGGGATGCTGCTGTTCGCCGCCGCCTGGCTCGCCGTCCGCGCGTCCCTCCGGCCCAGCGGCACGTGGTACGACGGCCCTCCCAGCTGCGCGCGCACACACACATGCATGAATGCATTCAGTTCAGTGAGCGATGCCATTGCCAAAGCTAGGTTTCAGGTATGGTACGCACGGTGACGATGGAGTCGCGCGCGGCGACGGCGACGATGTCGGCGCAGGAGACGACGTTGCGGCGGCAGGCGGCGTTGACGGCGTCCTTGATGCGGTCGATGACGTCGAAGCCGCGGACGGAGTTCATGTTGGGCGCCGCGTTCTTCTCCCCCGTGAAGAATGGCGTGTCGTCCAGCAGGATGGACCCGTCGCAACCCTGATCACGCATATGTCCATCCATTACCGATCATCACAAGCATATCGACAGATCGATCGATCAAGAAAACAATCAACAAGATCTTAACGTGTTCATGCCATGCTGATCGATGCCGATTTGATTTACTTACGTTGACGAAGCAGTCGTGGAAGTGCAGGCGCAGGAGCGAGGCGCCCATGCGGGGCTCCGCCGCGACGGCCTCCTCGACGATCCGCTTGATGGTGGGCAGCGCCGCCGGGCACAAGCCGTCGTAGAAGTGCGGGTCAAGTTGCGCGCTGCTCATCGTCGCGGCCACCACTACAGCAAACGCCACCGCCACCGCCGCCATAGCAGAGGACACCATGGCAAGCTAGCGAGCTATAGATGACACGGCTAACAGCACAAGCTCAATTAATTGATTAGCTGGTCGAGGCTTAATTTGCTACTGATGGTTAATTAGTTAAGCTCGATCGAGTGCGTGGAAGCAGAGCAAGGCAAATGGAGAGCTTATATAGCTCAACCGAGTTGACTCGACGACTCGGCTACGTGAAGCCATAAAGTGTAAGAGAAAGCAATTGAGATGAATTTAGTTCAGTTAATTAATCACGGTTTCAAAATGGTAGGTAGGAAAACCAAAGTGGAATTCGATAGATATATGCATGCATATGGAGATCCTGGAGTGATCGAGGTGGGGCTTTTTGCTATACGAAAGGGATTTTAACAACTGCTAAAAGCGACGGATCGATGTGGTTTGCTATGTAATGCATGACGAAAGCGGGCAACTAATTATCGCGCGACCTGCCGCCCTGATTTGCTCAGCGAGCTTGAAACGACGGTGACCAACCACAAACTAACTCAAACCTAGCCAGCTGGAGCGCTCTTTATCAGTACTTTGCACTACACCAGATCCTTACATCTTTGACGGCATATCTGTGACGGGCTTTAGTATTGGTCAGTAATGAGGGTCACCTTTGACGGGTCCTACGGGACGCCGTCATCGGTGAGGCATCCTTCTGCAACCCGTCACAGTTAACTAGTCACCTGTGACGGTCCCACAGTAGAAACCGTCAAGGTGAGGTAAATCTCACCTCTGACGGCTTCTACATCCGGCCCGTCACAGGTACAAGTAACGGGTTGCATCCTTATAAACCGTCAAAGGTGAGGTTAACTCACCTTAAACGGACCCATCACTGGAGCCCGTTACAGGTGGGGAGGGGGGCGGAGTATACTAATATGTACTCCCTTATCCACTATGTCTCTCACACACTCTCTTATCCACATAAACAAAAGATCTCTCTCTCCCTTATCCACACTCACAGAAACAAGAGGGGAGGCTCTTGCGGGGTGGCGGAGGACCCGACGGCCCCCGAGAGAGGCGGCGGCGCTAGGCGGCGAGCGGCGGTGGCGGTACCCACATCCTCCTCCCCCTTCTTTCTCCCCTCCTCCCCCTTCTCTTATTTCCGATCTGGTGTGTGGCTCAGCGATGCGTGGCAGCGGTGAGGAGGGCTCGACGGCGTGCGGAGGCAAGGAGGAAGTGGGCGGCGGCGCCGCGGCCTCCATCCCCGACCGGCGGGGGCCATCTCCATCCCCGACCGCCGGCCTCCAGAAGCTCGGGGTCACCGGCGCCAAGCTCGAGCGACGACGACGATGACCACCGACGACAACCACCGAGTCTGCCTCCGGGATATGGATCTGGCCTATAGGACACGGATCTGGCCATCGACGCCTCCCCCACCTCCCGGCCGCCAGCGCCTCCACCCTTTCTTCCCCGCCGATGTGGTCGGTCGCCATGGCTGCCATCCCTCGCCCGCCGGTCGCCAGATCTGTCGCCGGTGTGCGGTGTGCCCCTCTCGCCCCCTATACTTTTGCATTGATATGATATTGTTGTCTGTGCATTGAGAAATTCTTGCCATCCACTTTGTGTGAATACTTCTATATGAGATCTATCGGTTTGAATTTTTTGTGTGATGATGAATGTGAGCAAAGCAGCTCTGAGCCTGTGACAACGAGCACCACCACAGCAGCGTGCACCATTTTTTTTTGTTTGTTTTTCACACCAGTGACGGGTTGCACGCTGCTTCTTTTTTTTTTTTGCTGGGTTAAAGACATCAGTGACGGGCCACAAAATAATGGGTCGTTTGAGATAACAGTCACCTGTGACGGGTTTTATATGTGGTCCGTCACAAGTAGCCTTCACCACTGACGGGTCTACACCCGTTAAAGGTGAGGAGAGTTATCAGTGACCACTAATCTCTGACTAGAGCTATATCCGTCTGAGGTGACACTTTGGGCCCGTCACAGGTAGCCCTACCCAGCGTAGTGTTGTACTAAGTATTTAGTTTTACTACTTAGGTTTCCGTTTGAAACTGGTAAGCATGTTTTCAAATTACTAAGTGCATGTAAAAAGGTAGAGTCTAATATAAGCTCTATGTATTAATTAATATCACTAGACACTATCCTCCTATAATAGTAGAGACAATAAGATTTCTAAACCATTAATGCACTAAATATTTTTTTATTATACTTCTTTCCTTTTCTATATCCTCATGCAACAAACTTTCCGTTAATAAATGCTAAGAGTTGACTCTGAGCCATTGTCATGCGTAGCAACGATGTTTCTCATTTCTTCCCTCTCTTTCCTCCACGTCACCAAATTTACTTGCATGAACAACGAAGAGAGCCCGTTATTAGACACTATTGTACATGCCCTTATGTTTCGTGTAAAAACTTTTTATATAGAAGTTACTCTAAACTATCAAATGAATTTATTTTTCTAACTATTATAATTAAAATTTAATTAATTATATGTTAATGGTTTCTCGCTCGTTTTGTATGTTCTTACTTAAACATCATCTCCAATTCAAACGAGGTCTTACTATAAAGTTTACTGGTATCGGTTAAGCAGTAATCTGCAGGTTGTACTGGAAACTGAAATGCCCCAAAAATCGATATATATTTTCAGATAAATTTTGAAATTTTTCGAAATTTCAATTAGTTTTTTCGTTGCGTTGGATTGAGGCATTTTCTAGTTGGCCAAACCGATACAATTTTGGATGTTTCACATCCTAATGGTGTGTTTACTATAGCAGTAATATATACAATATATATATTAATCAGTGAGCAGGAAGCAGGTGGAGCAAATATTTACGGCTGCGTTTGGCATTGTGAGTTTCTAACTCAACCTGTTTTTTACGCGCACATTTCCCGAATTGCTAAATAGTGTGCTCTTTTTTTGGTTTTTAGTTTACAACGTACTTGATTTTTTTATATATGTATGATTTTTCATCTTATCAAAAAGTTATATAATTATAATCTATTTGATTTGTTTTATTAAATGTATTTTGGACATAACTTATTTTTTTTATGTCTTGCACCAAGTTTTCAAATGAGTTGAATGATCGAGATGTGATATATTAAAAACCGAAGGAAGTACCATGGGTACCATGCTAGATGTTGATGTACTGCGCTGTTAAAGAAGATATGTTTTCCGTACTACCACATCATCGTCTAGCTATATTACTATTAGTATTTCTGTTCATTTGGTGTTCCAGAATTGTCTTGAATCGTTTGTTTTCAAATAATAAAGAAACGAACATGTGCCGATGCATGCAGTGATGCAGAGCAGCTCAACTGATTAATTATCCGGTGCTCTTATTTGGAGGTGTGGTTGAACTAATTTTCAAGCTTACAGATTCTAGCTGGTTGTGGTTTGCCCATGGTTTTCACCCTGTTGATACACCCTGCTACTGAAGTTCACAAATACATGACATTTTTTTAGGAACATAAATGTGTGGCATTAAAAAAACAATTTATAACTTTAATTAATTAAGTGCCCTCTTCGTCTTAAAAAATAAACCTAGTATGGGTATTCTAAATGTGTCACATCATTGATTTTTATGGATGAAGGAAGTATGTATCAAATGGTAATTTTAACTTGACAGTTTTTGAATATTGATAAAGAAAAAAAAAGCTTATATTTTGGTGTCGGTCCTGTTGCTGACTCAACCAAAGGAGGCTACTGGAGACAGCCTTGATCATCTCGTATCTGGCTCAACAGCAGCAGCAATTGGCCTGATTATATTGTAAGCCCACATAATAGCCACTTTGGGCTCTAGCTAGCCTATGTGGGCCGGTATATGGGCTCTTGCCATAACCACTGTAAATTCGGCCTTCCCTTGTATTTTCATAGTCTCAATCACCCCAGGACTGTTTCCATCTTTCCGAACCCGAGTTTTGGGGCTTTTCTGGAACTCCCATTTGCGAACGCTACAGTAAATTTCCCACCCTGACCCTACTCCTCTCCGTATTTGTAATTTGTAAAGGAAATCGTTTTGGACAACGATACGGTCTTCAAAACACAACTTTAACTTTTTATTTCTATAAAAATATTTATTAAAAAGTGATATATGTATACTTTCATGAAAGTATTTTTCAAGACAAATCTATTCATATATTTTTTCTATTTTTAAACTCAACAATTTGAGAGTTATTCATGATTTATATTTCCAAGGTTTGACTTAAACATTATACTAAACGTCTTTCTTTACGAGTACGAAAGGAGTATAGTTTAATTAGTTTCCAGTTTTCCCGTTCCTGGGATCTTCTGTTGTGTCGGGCATGCCCTTTAGTTGGTTGATGGATGCTCGAGGTGGTCATCGGCTCCAGCATGTCTCGATCCGGTGTGTTGGTTCCTCCGATGTTTGGGCAGATGAAGGTTTTAAGATTTTCCAAGTTGGTTTCAACCTCCCTTGGAGCTCCATTCGGGTATTGTTGTCGTGGTTTTCATCCATAGTTCATCATGATTTTCTTTAGATCTTCGTGGATGGTGTGGTTCCCTCTTTGGTTTCTCTGCCTCTAGCGAAAATGTTGTATTGTTGTCGTGGTTTTGCATCCAACGCCATCGCCCTGACCTCCTGTGCGAAACCCTTTGGCGATTGCGCGCAGTCTCAATCTGTTGCAGCTCATATGGTTTCTTCCTCTGCCGGAGCCCAGTTACATGCTACCGTCGTTAACTTCTCAAGCAACCATACCAGAAGGACCCAATTGCGTTTTCTCATTTTGTTAAGTTCCTTTCTGCAAAATAATGGTCTAAAAGTGTAGTTTGTCCAGTCTTGAGGGGCTTGTCTGTAAAACTGGTTGTGTTCTAGTTTCCTTTGCTCTTAGCACTCTAATCACTCGTGTAATAGTCCTATCTTTGATCTTTAAATAAATGCATGAGTTTTTTATTTTTAAAAAATGACTGTTTGGAGGAACTTTCTCAGCTTCTAGTTTATTATTTCTAGTTTATTATTTAAATTCTACAACTACTATTTTTTAAAATATAAAAAAAACTGAGCTGTTTCGAAAACTTTTGATTCTGGTAAAAACTACAGCCGCAAGAAACTTTTACAAACATATCATCAGTAAGAGCATCTCCAAATCTCACCCTCTAAATACTCATTTAGCCATCTTACAAAAAAAAGTTGGAGAGTCAAATTTGCCTTTCACTC